GAGAAGGGTCTGGAACCCCGGCTTCTGATCTGCGTGTTAATTCACCAGATGGGCGGCTAGAGGCTGGAGGAAATGGCTGACATCTTATTTCCTATCACCTTGGTCCTGAGATAGATGGGAGGTCAGCTGTGCGTGGTGCCTGTAGCTGCCTGGCAAGACCGCTGCCTGTCTCCCCACCCTTCCTCCCTGACCCCACCCCAGCTTCTCTGAAAAAACACTTCCTGAGGTTTATTCTAGCAGGCAGCTTTTTCACGCAGCAAGGACTGATGTGATTTGGGTTTGCGTGACGTTCCTGGTATTTGAAAGCAGAAGCACAGCATGTACAAACCATTCTGTCCTCCTTCAGTCCCTTTGGCCAAAAAGGGGAGAAGGGGGCAGCACTCCTGGGAAAATAGGGTCTTGGGCGAGTTGGTCATGCCTGGTGAGCACACCTGGGACCACCACCCTGGCGATGTATAAGTCAGTGACTTGATTAGCTACCAAAGAACTAAAATTGTTGTGGGGAACCTTTTTTCCTGATCAAGGAATTCACTACGGAAAGGGGAAGGAAGGGGGGAAGATATGTAAAGGTCATGCACATATAAAAAGCCACTGAGTTTATACTTTTTAAAAGGTGAAATAGGAAACTTTTCATTTAAACATTTTTAATGTTCAGTAAGACATTTGCACTTTATAAATAAAGACTATGGAGCATGATCGTCTTTTTAAAAATATATTTTTATTTTTAAATATATATATTTTTTTTATTCCTGGTTGGGGCACATGCCTTGGTTGTGGGCTCGATTTCCAGTGGGGGATGTGCTGGAGGCAGCCGATCAATGGTTCTCTCTCATCATTGATGTTTCTATCTCTCTTTCCCTTCCTCTCTGAAATCAATAAAAACATATTTTTTTAAAAAATGAAGGAATAAACCTTGTCAGAAGATGTAGTTTTAAAATCCAGACTGAAAAGCTTGTATAAATGAGCCTTATAAGTCCTTTACTAATTAATTACCCAAGCTGAGAACTTGCTCAGATTCCTTTCTAATGAGCACTTTCTTTGTCTTATTTCTCAGAAATGTATTGTTTTTTTGTCTGAAAAGTATAAGAAGTTGCCTAATTCAGTCATTTCTTTGAGCCTTATTTTATGATCTGAGCGTCATATTGTGATTCTCCTGGGCACAAGCATTACATTGGGTTTCCCCCTGTTTATCTGGTCTTGTGGCAATTTTATTATTTTATTATTAGTCCAGCCGTAAGAACTAAAGAAGGGTGGGGCGGGGTTATTCTCCTCCCTGACATTATGTTTACTTGCTCAATTGTGGCTGTTGTGTCACGGGATATACTTATGTCAACACTTCTAATTGTACCTTTTAAATATGTGCAGTTTAGCCCTAGCTTGTTTGGCTCAGTGGATAGAGCATCGGCCTGTGGACTGAAGGTCCTGGGTTCAATTCTGGTCAAAGACACATGCACGGGCTCGATCCGCAGTAAGGAGCCTACAGGAGGCAGCCGACCAATGATTCTCTCTCATCATTAATGTTTCTATCTCTCTCTCCCTCTCCCTTCCTCTCTGAAATCAATAAAAATATATTTTAAAAAATAAATATGTACAGTTTACTATATATCAATGATACCTCAATAAAGATGTTAAAACTTTCAACTTCTTATTACAATTTTAAAAGATAATTCAAAAAAAGTAGTAGTTTCATAATTTAAAACAAAAAAGATTTACAATGAAAGGGTGCCAATTGCCCAGTTCTCACCACCTGTCCCCCCACCACAGATAACAAGAATTATTTGTATTGCTATAAACTTTCCAAAAATTAATGTTTACCTTTACTGATTATAAAATATCTTCATCTTTAGTAAACAGCAAGTCAAAGGTTTACATACCCGTAGAGGGGCAGGTAAGCCCTAGGAGAGCCTGCTACTTATGCCCGGCACTGAAAGAACGCACTATGATCCATTTTACCTATTTCTGAATTTCAGATACTTTTTATTGTTATCTATCTGCTCATATCCTTTGCCCATTTTTCTATTGTATTGTTTTTTAAAAATATATATTTTATTGATTTTTTACAAAGAGGAAGGAAGAGGGATAGAGTTAGAAACATCGATGAGAGACAGAGAGAAACATTGATCAGCTGCCTCCTGCACACCTCCTGCTGGGGATGTGCTCGAAACCAAGGTACATGCCCTTGACCAGAATCAAACCTGGGACCCTTCAGTTCACAGGCTGACGCTCTACCCACTGAGCCAAACCGGTCAGGGCTTTATTGTATTGTTGATCTTTTTCTTCTTTTATCTCTTTTTTAAAAATATTTTTTTCTTGATTTTTGAGAGCTTTATACATATTAGAAAGATTCACTCTTTGTTTAGGATGTAAGTTGCAAATATATTTTCCAGTTTTTCTCTTGACCAAATTTTTTTTTTTTTTGCAAAGCAGACTTTTCATGGAGTATAATTTAACAGTCTTCTCTTTTATGGCTTCTGGATTTTTAAATCATTGTTAAACCAGCCTTTACCATTCCCAGATTTTGAGAAATTCTTTCATGTTTTCTTCTAGAACTTTTATGGTTTCCTTTGTACCTTCAGATGGTTGGTCCATTTGGAATTTATTCTGGTGCATGATATAAGTTGTAGGATATAGTTTCTCTGCTTTTCTTTTAAAACACTGACATTTATTTTTGAAATAAAGCCTTTTCCCCCCTCCTGGTGTTCTAAAAGTATTAGCATTGAATATGAAACAATGACTAATTTTAGGAGTTTACTTTTAAACTTAGGAGTAAGGGATTTATCACTATTGCTTGAGAAGAAAAGTTGCTTACTCTACAGTATGTAAGAGTTACCTTTGAAGCCAGCATTTATTTTATTACTCATGGTGTATCCTTTTTTCCTGACAAATCAAAATTTGGTATGTGGGCGGGAATAATTTCCAGTAGATTGCCAAAGAAGATGGTTTATAGTGGGGAATGGAGAACACAAAACAACAAAAAGCAATAGGAAGACTCCTTTATGCACGCATTGCTCCTCAACAGCGCTTATCAAAACTTACTGAATCGCAGGCCAGAGAAAAGACTTGTTCTTGAGCTGGAAGCCATCACTTCTTGGTACTGGCCCTGAAGCAGAGAAATCTTTGGTTTCCATAATCTCAGTTCAAGTCTGACTTAGCTTTACCATGTGGCAGTAGGAGAGGGTAGCATTTCAGAAACAACATGGCACGCCGACTTATGTTGAATGGGTAGGAATCAGCCAGAAAAAAAGGAGGGGGAAGAGTACTCCAAATAGGGGAACAGCATTGGCAAAGGCACAGACACATGGTGTTTTCTGGGAACTATAAATTCTAACAGCAAACGCAGGGTCAAGGAAGGCAGTGGGTGAGAGAGGTTGATTTAAGAAATGTCCACTGGCTGGCATGGCTCAGTGGTTGTGTCGATCTGTGAACCAGGAGGTCATGGTTCAATTCCCTGTCATGCCTGGGTTGGGGCTCAACCCCAGTGTGGGGTGTGCAGGAAGCGGCCAGTCAATGATTCTCTTTCATCATTGATGTTTCTCTCTCTCTCTCTCTCCTCTCTCTCTCTCTCTCTCTCTCCCTTCCTCTCTGAAATCAATAACAATATATTTTTTTAAAAAAGAATGAAATGTCCAGGAACATTTGAGGTCTTGTTCCCCGGCATATGCTGTCAATTTGGCGCAAATAAACTCATAAAAAAGGAGAAAAAGTCCGAATCTGTGGAGAATTTTCATAGGTGTTTATCTGAGCCCAAACTGAGGACAATTGCCAGGAAGTAAGATCCCAAATGCCCTGGAGAATGATAGTTTTGCAGTTTCTGTTATGCATTAGAAATTAAGGAGGGAATATACTAGTAAGGAAGATTCCATGAGGTGAGAGAAAACAAGGCGATATTGGGTTACAGGATAGTTAACAAGATTATGTGATCTCTTTTTTTGTTTGTTTATTGTCTAAAGTTTTACATATGTCTTCTCTCTCACCTCCTGC